GACCTGTTTTGAAGTACCACTTCCAACTATAGTCATGGTGGGGGACTCAAACCTTGCAACTCTCAAATGCGAAGGAGAAATGCTTACCACAAGCAATAAAATTACTTCAAATACTATACCTTACAATATGGCCTTGATTGACCTTTAACGAGCTTTTTAAGAATCAAAGATTTATTCAGTGATAACAGTTACTTCCCCAATGGCCTAGAAACTGAACCATCACTGGAACAGAGCATATAAAGTGGAAGGGTATACAGAAGTTCTATAGCTTTACCACAGTAGCTGGTAGTGTTTCATATTTGATGGATTCCAGTTTTGAATCCCAGCTGATACCAGATCTCATCATTACTGATGATACATACTGTTTCTTTTAATATTTATATCTCTCACTTCCTTAACTCATTTTAAAAATGGAGAAACTATATGCACTGATGAAGTAACAGACTAAATTCTTGTGATTCTACTGTCCCTCCAATCAAATGTCAAGAAGTTGCAGTGCAAGGATATCTTTGAAAAGTCAATAATTATGCAGATGGTCAAGAAATTGTTTTTAAAGAACCAAATAGTGTATTATCATGTGCATGCACATTCTGGGGCCTTCAAATTTTATTTCTCAAATATCAATTTTCATTATCCTCTGGTTTCCCAAGTGATCACTTCCCTTGAGGTCTTCCAACCAAAATTTTCTATGTACTTCTCAGTCCCTGTGAGCACATGCTGGATATCATTTTGATTTCTGTTTTTGTTTCCATATACTTGAACTTTATAATGTATCTTAAAATAGGCCACAAGTGCTTCCTCCTGTCTATTGTGACCTGCCATTCTGAATTATCACCAAATGATGCAAAAATCAATTTCAATTTTTAGTCCACTTTCATTGCCATAGTTAAAGCAAAACTGCTTCTAATGTACTCTATGTGTTCCCAGTTAAAGTTTTAACATACAAACACCATGCCAGCCACCTCAGCTTCAGACTTCTGTTCTGTACCACTGGTAAAAACATTGCAGTCATATAAATTTCTCTCTAAGGGAAGGGAGCAATATGAATACCAGTCAATTCTAAAGGGCTCTGACAATGGTACATTGCACTTGGGATTACTGAGTTTGTGGACTTCATCTATAATCCAATATTCTAAGAGAATAGTGTTTCAAAAACTGGATGTTTCCAAAACACTGCATTCTTTTAGAATACATGTATTAGATCATGCATAAAGTCCAGAATCTCAGTAATCCCAAATATGAATACTCTCTGACGTAAACCCCGAAACACTGTGTGGAAATACACCTTTGAAAAATAGGTAACATATGTAAACATATTTTTTTTTGAGGGGGGGGATGTTGACATCCAAAATCTGTATATACATTTCAGTTTGATGGACCACTGCTGTGACACAAGTCAAATTTGATGTTGTGATAGAACGACCTGAATACATTATTAAACTATTTTCTATAAAAATACAGATAATGTGGCCCACTGAGATCACGTGTGTAAGAGCATTTAGATGCCCAAAGTGTGGGCCAGCAAGAAATTCTTCTAAAGATAATTATTAACCTAAACCCCTTATGAGTTGGTAGCCTGATCAGTATGTATATGCAACTCATATGCCATTTGTGGTTCCCCTTCCTTCCTTCATACTTCATAGTTCCTTACCATCAAGAACATGAAGTGAATAGTAGAGTGCATTTCTGAGGTGGGAGTAATACTAGTGTATTCTGAAATATGTGGTAATAGGTCTTTGTAAAATATGCAACTTTTGTGAGGTCATTTTCTTGCAGAATGTAAAATGACAGAAAGTGTCTGTGCGAAATGTTGCTATAGCTTTCTGTTTGATATTGGTGAGAAACTACTGCATAAGAAAATGTATATAAGTTCAGTGATAAGTATACTTACAGATTTTTCATAACACTTTATTTTATTTAAAAAAAATTGAATGTAAAATCTGCACTGATAAATTTCAGGTAGTGAAAACTTTGCAGATTTCAGGTTTTAGAATTAGGAATGTTGATCCATATGTCTGTACTCCCAGCAGGTTGGTTTTCTGTTCGTTGGAAGCATTTAAATATTATGCATCATTAATTCCACCCAGAACTTCCTTGTGATTATAAATTAAAAATCTAGCGTATCTCTATTCAGATGGAAAGATAAACAAAAGTAAAGCTAATAAATTCTTACCAGAGACTGATTTTCAACAACAGCAAATGGCAAACATAATATGTACAAAGCATTAATAACTGCAGTAACATCACAAACATTGCACATCATAAAAATGATTAGAAAAGAGTACAAAGATACATACCAAACTTCAGAAGACATTGGCAATAATACATTTTAAGTGTCAAAATCCTTTTGAGTAGACGGATCAAGACAAGAACAAATCATAAGATTCAGTTCTGTGACTGTCAACATTCTTCATTTATTATCGTATATTTCTGTATGCATCTAGCTTGTCTAAAAACAAAAACAAGAAAAGATGTCTTTATATTTGAATAGGGTAAAGGCATATCTTCAGCAGAGGCTCCGGTTATGTCCAAAACACACACAATCTGCCTGGAAGTTCAAAGACCGTATTTTTTAAAACATGACTCGTGTGTGTTTGCTCACATCACACTGTGAGAGCCATCTACAGACATAACCTACAAGAACAAACTGACCAGAGGGAACTTTCTTTACCTTTAGTTTCAACATACCAGACACAGTTTACTTATATATAAACTGGATACTTTCACTTCTCTTGTGATTCTGTTAAGAATGCTTTTGCTAATGAAAGGGGGGGGGGGAAGAAGAAGAAGAAGCTAGAATTCGTTAGTTTCTGAAACCTGTATCCATGTTCTGTAATTTGTACTTGGTGATCTCTCCTAGTAAAGTGAGAAGATTGATTCTTAACTTACTTATGAACCCTTTTTCAATTGATATGTTCTACAGCATTAAATGGGATGATTATCATGAATGGTACGTAACAATTTGGAAGATGGCCTTTGTGACCTACTTAAAGGTTCTACCATGTGAATTTTCCAGGATGAACTGAGGAAAACCATGAACACTTCAATGTTGCCAACAACCCACCCATGTTTCAAACTGGGCACCTAAGAATGTAAGTTTAGGCTGTTTCCACTATGCCAAATTGCTTCGTCACCTTAATAGAAGGAGATTATAAAAGAAGGTAACAGTAGCCAGATATAAATTGAAACGAAATTCACATTCTGTGCAGTAAAGCAATGCATTCAAACTTGTTTCTCTTTGGCATCTATTACCATTCAGGACTGACATGAGTAACTCTGTGGAAATCTAGTTAAATTACGTGCATATGATGGTTTTGCTATGCAAAGTATCTGTCTTGATTTTATATAAAATGAAGCCGACAACAGTGAAGTCAGAATGATACTGATAACAAGTCTTGATTTTAAATTCACAGTGTCATCAGGGCACAGACAGACATGTGATAATTATTTTGCATTATTAGGAAGTCTTGCAGTCAGCTCTCAGTTGCTTCAATATTCCTTCCTAAATTTTGTTTTATTTAAACATTTCCACACCCTTATTTATATATCTGAAAGTTTCAGTGACTCATATAATCTACTTATGATATATAGTTCCTTTCTTACATTTAATATTACTGCCTGAATGAATTTTTCAGTCATAGCATTCCACAGGGCTGGAACAAATTTGTTCCAGTTCATAGAAACCTGCCTCAATCCACAAGCAGAGGAAACTCAAGTTCCTCCAAAACAGAAATTTATGCCAGTGTTATTTGGCCAAAAAAGGAACCCATTTTTATCATTACAGTGTACCATATTTATAACATTTTCATTAGAACAATCTGTGTTTTGTTGAGAAACATATTGTGGACGGAACATGGAATGGTAGCTGCCTTATGAAGGAACATAAAAATAATGCACTTTTAAATATAAATACACTGAATCCTGGCACCCATATGTTAACATTTTATGCAGTCTTTCCTTTTTCTTTCCAAGAAGCTGTAAAATTCCTCTATATGCATGATGTTTCAGATGTACTCTGGCATTAAAATGACTTCACCACAGAGGTCAGCACATACAAAATTTTATTTAGTATCTTTCATTACTATGCATTTCCAATTTCTAACACTGGGACCTACAAACTCCTGTGTTTTATCACACTACTGTGTGTATAAAGCAACAGTGCACAACTGTCATTCACAGTCAGTCTAGGAATGCAGTTTTGTCACAGTGGAAGCTGAAGCTGCTACTGATCTGTTTGTTTTGCATGAATTTAAGAGTGGGAAATCACTGAAAAGTGGCAAAAAAAATTCTACTACAGGGAGATTGAAAAGTCGCGCACATCAAACTAAACGTTGTTATAAATTGTATTGCAGTTAATATATCTCCTACTGCTAGATGGTACTGTAGGAGTACTAACAACAAGTATAAACGCCATCTGTCATGTATCGGTCATACAATGTCTGCAATATAGCTTTGTTTATTGTGCGACAGACATGTCGTTTTCCCAAGAACGAGTTTTCATTGTGGAACATTATTTCACCAGTTGTTCTTCACTGATGAAGCATGGTTTCACTTTAGTGGCTACATGAACAGTCAAAACAATAGGATTTGGTCATCTGAAAATCAACATGTGACATGAAAAGCCCTTGCACTGTCAAAAAATTGGAGTGTGGTGTGCTGTATCACGTCGTCGAATAGTGGGCCCAATTTTCTTTGAAACAACAGTGAACAGTCCAGTGTACCAAGACATGATTACACAGTTCATCAGCTTCTTGAAGCTGATGAACGTGGGTGATGGTTACAGCAAGACGGTGCCACGTCACACATCTAATGAAACCATGCAGTTCTTGTGCGAGTTTTTCGGTGATCATCTCATTTCAAAAAGACTGTGGCCCCCACGTTCGCCCGATTTGTCATCCGCAGATTTTTCCTTTGGGGGTACCTCAAAGGAATTGTCTATAAAAATAATCCGCATACGCTGGATGACCTCAAGAGGAACATTATGACAGCAATTAACAGCATCAGTTTACAGGTGCTCCACAAAGTGGCCTCAAACATGGTAAAAAGAGCTTGTGCATGCATTGCTGAACAGGGAAGTCATTTTGAGCATACATTGTAAAGACATGATTTGATTTTGCATTTCTAAGATGTAACGTTATAAACATTAATAGTAAGTGCTGTATGTCTTGTAGTTTGTGCATAAAACCAGCAAAATAAAATTGCTTGGTGTGATGTGAGCAACTTTTCGATCTCCCTGTATATTGCACTGTTTTACAAAATTAAGTGAAGGCAGTGCCAACAATGGAAGACACTGAGGAAGAACACACCAGTGTATAAAATGGAATAAAAAAATATGACAGTTCTGTCAAATTTGTAGTAAGGAAGAAAAGGTGACAAATTCTTCAGGAACATACCATCTGCAGTGAGAAGCGTGCTGCGTTCATTGAATAGTGATCAGAATGATCAGGATTTGCCGAATTTCAGTAGAACACTGTGCAGACTGATAAAGGGCACTGGTTTTAAGTTTATGACAAGGCAGTGAAACGCAATATTCTTGCATAAGGACGACACTGTATTATGGAGAGAAACAAAAAATACTTGCAGGACATAAAGTATTTTGTAGTGCCAGTCATATGATATGTTTTCTAGACGAAACCTGGGGCAATGGGGGACATACATGTATGACATCTGAAGGTTAGACTGATACTGCAGTAAAATGCAAGAAACAAGGATTTCTCCTGGGTCTTTCCACTGGTCTCAAAAATCCATATGTAAATGTAAGGAACTGGTTACTGTTCACACTGGCAGTGAGCTGGGATCTGTGGACAGACGTTAGTTAGTTTTCTAACCGAATTCCATTTGAGATTATCATGAAGAAAAGACAAGGATTTTTTGTAATGGTTTCAATCTCTCGCCCCATAATTTGAACATAACAGTATGACAGCCATGGATAACCCTTCACATCACGGTGTGAAACTAGAACACATTCTGACTATGTCATGGTAAAAGAATAACATTCTTAAGTTGTTGAAAGAGCATGCTTGTGTATGTACTGTCAAAATGATAAAACTGGAATTAACTGAAAAAATGAAGAGCACAAAAAATGATATTATATGACTAGTGAGACACTGATGAAAGCACACACAAAGGAATGCATATGTTCTGAGGATACCACCTCATCACTGAAACCTGAACCTTACAGAGCTTATATTCTGCGTGGTTAAAGGTTACCTAACAAGGAACAGTGCCTCTTTTAAACTGCAGAAGTGCATTCTTTATTTAACACAGCAGTTATCATGTGACTGCAGAGGCCTGGCCTAAATGTGTCTGTCATGAAAATTATAGTTTTGTATATTCTAATTCTTATGTTTTTATGCTAACTTCCCTGTATGCCAGAGACAGAAAATACTTTGCATTGGAAGGACAATTTCATGGAGATTTTCTTTTACATCACATTCACTTTATGTATGATTTGATTATACTGAAGCTTGTCACTTTATGCACAGATGTGTAACCATTTCAGATAAATACAAATTGCTGTACGTGTCTATAAATATTTTGCCTCAGTTCTCAGCAATGATCAGAATATTTCACTCAAAGATAAATAGTTCTCTCTAATCATTTGTACTTAACAAGACTTGAGAGCCCAGGCCAGCCCTAAGACAAATCCGCCTGTGTGAGGCACTTTATATTTCATATATTTAATAACACAGTATCAGCATTGCATGGACTTTCTGTAATTGGTCTCCCTTGATTTATTGCCACAAACCCTTCTGAAATATCTTTTTAATCCAAATATGATTATGGCAAGTACATGCAGACTTTCTTCAGGTACACTTGTCTCAAGTCAGTTATTTTTAATTTGAAAAATATCCATTTCTTAGAAGTTATTACGAGTGAAATTAACAACAAAATGCTATACATTATAACTACATATTTTAAATGACCATCTACTGAATTCAGAAACTGGACAGTTTGTTTCTTTGAGAAAACATTCCACATTCCACTTTTTTAGCACCTCCAATAATTTTCTGTAATTTCTACACGTTTCATTTCTACAGACCCGCACACTTTCATTCATGAGACCAAAAATACTATTTAAATCCACTAACCATAAAACAAAGGTCAAAATGGCATTCACCATCAATTCACCGTGTTTCACTGCAATTGAGCGAGTACATTTCTGGACTCCTACTTTCATCAACATACTAATCCTTCAACCAGATTTGCTTGAACTATCCAGAAATTTAAAATACCCCTTACCAAGATGTCAAAGTGTAGGGTCTCAAGTTCATCAAATGCTTTGGCAAGCCCTGACAACAGTCAGTGTCATCATATCTTCAGAGCGCATTCCTTTAAATTAACTGCCTAGTAAGCAGTTACGTGGTTCTGACAATATATTTTCATTGGCTCACTTCGAAAGTGATCTTCATTCCTACAGCATGAATGAATCATTTATTTCAGATGGAAAAAAGGCATTTAAAAATTATGCAAAAAATAAATTATTCATTATGGGTAAGAGATCAGTCACTGGTAATGACCTAAATGAATACTGTTGTTCGTGTGATGGAAAAAGAAGCATTACAGGAACATGTGACTTCATTTCTTACACATATGCAAATTACCCAAACTTCTTTTCTTTGTGTTCTTGCTTTTAAGTGCATTTTCACACTTATCTGTTTGCTAAACTTCAGTCTGTGGAACACCTGCCTGATCCACTCTTGTCTTCGGCTTCCTAACAGCTGGGACTGGTGTTCCTTGCTTCCTTACTCCACCTGTCGGGGAACTGGTGGTGAAATTGGACGAATCCTTAAGTGAAGCAGAACTACCTGTTATTCGGAGAGATGGTGTACTGGCAGTCCGTCGAGGATCAAAACTGTTTTGGGGTTTTGTCTGGCTTAATTTTGAAGGTGTTGGAATGTCACGATACTCAACTGTTGCACTGTGATTATCAATTCCTTCTCCAGGCTCTCCAACATCGTCACGTAGAACTATAATGTCTCCATTGTAATATCGATCAGATTGTCTGAAAAGAAAATTGAGGCAGTAACATGATCATCTGAAAAGGTGTATGCTATGACAGATGTCACCGCTGTCTAAATTGTGAAGCATTTAAAGGGATGTCTAATGCTTTTTACAGATTATATGGGGGAGGGAAGAAATGAAATAAGTACTGTATTTGTCCATGACTTCAGTGACAGTCAGTCAAGACAACTGGCTTCAAGGTCAAGAGATCTGAACCTGAGATCCTCCAAGTATGAAGAGGGTGCTAACCACTTAACCATGGCATTCGGTGCCTACTGAAGGGTTACAAATGTCTAAGATGTGAACATTAATCTGCATAGCGTGCATTACAGCAAAATAAGCAACTGTGCGCAATAAAATATTCAAAAACCCCATCTGAAGTTCTTAAACACAACCAAAGCAGCAGTAACAATAGGAGACAAAGCAGTTACTTTGCATCAGTAAGTTGCAGAATGGTTCACCAGACAGTGGTGATAAAAAGGGTGAGGAATATTCACTCATGTCACTCATTTCACCAAATCCAAGTTTTATCTTTGTGTTTTCATACACTTATACTATTTTCACTTCCTATGAATGTGCATGAGAACATGTGTGTTGCAAAGGGAATGCAAAAGCATGCACTACATCCACTACAGCTTCATTTCAGGCTATCCTGTTAGGTCTTCAGGGCTTTTTACCATATTGCCAGACACATCATCTGGAATTGGTAAATTTTAGAGAAGGTTGAAAGTTATGTAAGATTTGAAGCTTCCACAGTTCTTGTAGATGATAAAATCTTCTCAGGGTATCAGTCATGACAGGTGGTTTCAGGGACCATCTCTGTCCCTGTCATCAGGGTCTGATGTGTTGAAAAGTTATGCTATACAGAAGAAGTTATACGAAAACTATTTTATTATTATTATTATTATTAGAGGGGGTGGGTTTCCCCATGCACTGAGACCAGTTATTGGTCCATTGTGCGTCCCCCTTTAATGTCTACTGTCGCCGTACCCTACCGGTACTGGCGCGTGCTATCAGCCTCACTCAGCTAACGAGGTCGGCCGTCAGTACCTGATATTTACCCCATCTACCACAGGCATTGGAAACTACTTGGGCAGGAAATTGTTGCCTAATTTTGCTCAGAGGTCTCCTAGAGACACGAGGATCTTTTACGTGCCATAAATCTACGACACGGGACCCATGGCTTAAAGTCCCTCCCAGAGGACTTGTTCCCTGAATTTTTCCGCCCTTAAAAATTCCACGACCTCCGCCGGGTTTGAACCTGCATACCTTGAGTCATGAGGTGGGAATGTTACCCCTAGACTACGGAGGCCGCTATACGAAAACTAACAGGAAGGCCACCTGTATGAGCGCAGTCTATTACAACATGAGACATGAAGCTATCTACTGCTCACAGCAACAAAATTATTTTAAGTTAATTTTTCACTTTTGATTTGTAATTTTTAATGGAAACTTGTACGAGTATTTTAATCTCAGTGCAATTGAACTGGAATGTAATTAAATAATAAGAAGTACACATAGAATATAGATGTACATCATTAGGTATCTGTTAGATATGTAAACCAGGAATATGTTTAATACAACACAAGTGCAATGTTAGTAGATGCTGAGGGCCATGCCGTAGCTCAATTGGTTAGTCGCTGGCTTCCCACTGTGGCAGCCCGGGTTCGATCAAGTGGGATCTGTGGTGGACAAAGTGGCGCTGGGGTGGGTTTTCTCTGAGTACTTCGGTTTTCCCTGCCAATCTTCATTCCACCAAATTCTCCATCATCATAATCACCCAGGGCAGGTACAATAGGCCAATCAGTGGCCATCGTGCAGAATGGACCCAGCTGGACTCCACAGCCCCACTAAGCGAATTTAAAATTTTTAGTAGATGCTGATATAAGACAGTGCGTTACAAGTTAATGATTAAACGTGTATCTGAAGAACACTTGAAAATGACCCTTTATATGTCAAAATATGTAGTGCTGATTTTAAATCAATCAATAAAAACATCTGTTGCATTGATGACTGAACACTTAAAAGGTTTTAATATCTTGTTAGTTGTAATTTACACAACAGGATGATCCTGTCCTATCACCACAGTGCAGACAAAATACAAATCAAATCTGCATTCATGAGGAAATTAAAAGCACATTCAATGCTGAAAACTTGGTTCAGAATCTTTTGTCTTTCCATGGTCTACCTGAAAATGTGAAGGCTACAACAGTTCAACCTATTGTCTTTTATTGGTGTGAAACAGTTTCTCAACTGAGGAAGGCCACAGATTAAGGGCACTACAGAACAGGTTAATGAGAATATTTGGACCCGAGAGAAAGGAAGTCATAAGAGAACAGAGAAAACTACATAATGAAGAGTTTTGTAATTTGTAGTCCTGGTCATTATTAGGGCGATCAAATCATGAAGAATGGTGGACAGAGCATGCAGCATTTATGGCAGAAACAAAAACTGCCCCTTGCTTCTACCCAAGGATGGAGACAGCCGCATTCAACATATATCCATATATTGGAAAATGTCCAAAGAAAAATACTCCCTTAGAACTATGCTACACACTTTATATGTACCCTGCCAGAAATGCAAACTATTCAGATTCAGAGAAAATGAATCCCACGTGACATATTCCTCTCCTTCCACCTCAGGGTGAGCATGTGTTAACATAGTCATGCATCATGCCTCGTCTTCATGCAGTGTGATGGACCTACAGCATCTGAGAAAATAACAGAGATGTAGCATTGCTGTACCCATGATCAGAACTAATGAGTTGAGTTCTTGTGATATATACAAAAAAGAGTTCTAGTATCAAAATACCACCTCCCCCTCTCTCTCCCACCACAGATAGCATTATGAATTCCCCATGATAATGATGTAGGCACATTAAACACTGCCATGTCAGGCAACTGGGGCCACATTTTGCATGTAATCCAACAGAGTACAGTGCGGCCTCTTCATTACATTTCAAACATGACTCTACATGCTGCCTGCTCTCACTACTGACTTGTAACGTAAGAAAGACGGACTTTAGCTGAAGGTGGGAAACAGTGAAGCAGCTGAAATGAGTTTCCTAAGGGCCATGTGAGAACACACAATATTATGAAATCAGAGAATAATTATATGTACTTGATATCCCAAGTAAAATGTTTGGTTCCATCATTTTGAGAGAATGAAATAGAATAAATCTGCTCAAAGATTTTATCAACATTCATAAATAAGCAGAAGGGGAGAATACCACATATACCAATTCTGAAAACTGTTCCATACTGGCAATGAAGGGAAAAAAAAAGTAAAGCTATCCCTGTAACAGGCCGTGGAGGCCCATAGGGTTGTGAGATATTATCGCGCATTATCTAGACAATCGGATCAAAGATGGCGGTAAGGTGGTCAACCCTATGCGCTGGCTGTGCTTTACTCCCCAGGAAAATTATTTTTAATTAATTCCTGGCACTCATTTCAGTTAGAGCCTGAGTGAACCCCAGGGCCATAGTGCGGCTGGAAGGATGAGGTCAATTGAAAAAACTGAATGACCTCATCGGGACTTGAACCCATGACCTTCTGGCTTGTAGCATAATGCCTCAACCAACTACGATTCCGCGTAAGAAATGCTTATGAAATTTGTTGTTTTTTTTGGAAATCTACACAATCTATAATTCTGGGTGAAAAGCTTCTTTTCAGTGTTGAAAAGTACCAGTATAAGCTGCTTTTGTTTTTGGATGCGTATGAGAGAGAAAAAAAGAGGTGTATGCCTATAAAGCTGAGTTTCCTTGTATACACTTGCTAATATGGTCCCTGTGCTCCAGTATGTAGAGTGAAATTCGAACACCTTCTAGTCCTGATGAGTCTGCATACACTGCACATCTCTGTGATGACATTAACAACTTATAATGTGCTGCTGCTAAGGTTGGTTGATTTACCTTGGCTTACCTCTTTGCGTTCCTCCAGAGGATGCAGCAGATCACAACCAACACAATCAGCAGTAAACATGCAGATGTCACACTCCAGAAGGCAATCTGCAGGGGCTCTTTTGGCTCCCACCAATACTGCACACACAAGGAGAATATGCAAGGCCTCCAATTCTGTTCATGGAATCCTGACCTGCCAGTAGTCAAGCTTAACACACCAAAATGATGGTAACCTGCTGACATCAGCTAGCCACTTGTAAGGGCTGCACACTGGAATATGTATTCCTTAAACCAACAGAACATGCAGTCTATCTAAAAGAGTTTGTTCACATCCTTAGTGTTCACTTTGCAATGAGTCTAGCATTATTCATGAGTCTGACAGCTCTTGAACTCTTCTGTATGAGATTTCAGGTTTAAATGGTAATTAAGATTTAGACTGTGGTCTTCATGATCTGATAAGCGGTTACCACAGGGTAAACAAAAGATGGAGGCAGCAAGTTCCCAGCAAGTTTTGTGTTTCACCAGATTCATCTTAATTTCATGTATGCTGCTGTATCTATAACATGAGATACATATTGTCTGTGCTACTATTCTCCTGAAGTTTACCTTCAGTATTTTTACTGATACAATATCTTTATTGTGCTGTAATGCCTGCTTAGTATGGAGTGAAGCTGCATCTCCTCTGCCTCTTTCGTTAATTCTGTAATACTCAGTTCCCTTTTGTGTCTTTGTTCTCCCTTTATTCCTAACATTGAACAATGAGCAACACAATATACCCTTCTGTCAAGACTGCAGAAGAGAAATCTAGACCATGCAGCACAGCTGATCATTCAGTGGAATATTCTGACCACAGTGTACATAATAACCAAACATTAATTGCACAAACTAAAAATTAACTTGCCATCCCAGGTCCTTTGAAAGAGAACATCTTATTTTTGACCATATGTAAGAGTGGCCAAAATATTTTAAACCGACTGTATTACATTATGTCAATAATTTTTGTCCCTGGAAATATGATGGATTCCAATATTTTGGAATTATAACCCATGGCACAGTGTCACTTGGAAATAACATACTGAGTGTGTACCATGACTAACTATGATGGCAGAGCAGTAATAGTCTATTGGTAACTTTTAATGCCATGACAGGGATAGAGGAATAATACAGCTTTGTACATTGTGCTGGAATGTGTGTAAAGTTTTCTCTTTATATAAAACTGTCTCCAACAGTAAAGTATCAAAATTCCAATCATATGATATTTTTAAAAGCAACCTGATCATTTGTTTACACATGCAACTTAACCATTTTCATTTTCCCTTATCTGGCTACCCTGTCGCTGATAACAAGAGAAAATAAGTAGAAAGGTATTCCCAATACCTTCAAATCATTTTTTTTAAATAATAAAAATTTAAATAATATAAATTATTTTTGTTACTGTTAATTTCTGCTAACCAGCTTGCAAAATCAATTTGCCTTGGGTGAACAGCCAACTGTATTTTTCAAGCCTTGACATAACTAACCTCAGTGACTGGCGGATAGGTTGGAACCAGGTGCCCAATCACTGTGGGGAGATATGTGCTCCAGAAAGCAGTTTCTGTTTGCCTGTAGTTGAGCAGCACACTAGAATTAAAGGTAGTATTGATGTTCAAGTAATGCAGTTGTCCTGCTCTTGCCATTTCAAAGTGGAGTCCCAGAATCTGAGTGTGCGTTGGGTTCCTGCAAATAGTTATCATGTAGAATTAAGTACACAGTCAATTCTGCAATTGTGAAGTAACACAAAAGCCACCATCAGAAAACTGTTTTTAGTTAACTTTGGGAAGTGTAATGATATTCATGACAAAATTATGAACTATACAGATCCAAGAACCATGGGGTACCATTGTGTTTAGAATATTTTACCTTCACATGTATTTCCCTAACAAAATCTGGAGATATTACATGATACCTGCTTTCCTTCAAATGCTCCAATCTATACTCTAAGGCTAATGTAAATTTGCCTAACTTATTATATGCATCACCACCACCACCACCACCACTACTGCCTCCCCCCTCCTCCTCCAATTTTAGTGCCCTTCTTGGCAGTCTTGTTATATGCAGTCTCTTTACACAGACAAATCATTGTATTATTTCTCTTCTATCTCTGATAAAAAAGTTTAATTCAATCTTCTTCTCACGTTTAATTCTGTCCCTTCACCTGCTTCTCAAACATTTCACATTCACTGCTCCAATTTTATTTTTGCTTGCCTTTGTATGGATCCATGTTTTGGCACTGTCACATGTTAGTGACTAGACACAGGGTTTGGATTGGTAATTGGATGGACTCAACACTTACAACTTGGAATTACAAGTAACTATAGTGCTGCACAAATCACTATAACCCACACTAATCCTCTCAGCTTGTTACAACGTCCACTGATCATTGCCTGGTTACAGTCTTCTATCAAGGGCTATTCCTCACACCCTTACAGCTTAAGAACTGCACTCACTAATTGGCAACTCAAGATGGTACTGCTCTGCCCATGACCTCATTTCTCAGACTGACTATGGCTCACGATCCGAGTTATAGCCTCTGCACGGACAACAGAGGAAACAACATTTCTCACACCTGCTTTGTTGTACCATGACATAGCCACTGTGTGCAGACCACATATAAAACACAGCATCCAACAGTTTTTCTTTTGTTGCATATGTAAGCATGGCTGTGGTCACATGAAATTTACTGAGCCATTGCCTAGCAATGGGCATCTCTTTTGATTCTGCTTGTCTGGCTTTGAGCCCTCATGTCACAGTATGTTGGTACCGATTTAAATTGTTTTGTAGACTGTTATTTTGTTATCTTTCTGTTTTATAAAATTCTTTTCATAAATTTGATAAAATTCATAATTATTTTTTCTTCTTCTAAAAAAATCTCATCACTTTTCCTTTCCAAATTTAATTTCACTTCAAAGTGAGTCAATGAACACATTTCTCCATCTCTTCATCTAGTGTGTTGTTAACTTTTATCCTAGCACTGCGTTCCTTACAATGATTATTCAGTACACCTGCAGCTGCACTCCATATGTGCTTACTGTATCCAGCGTCCGCAGCTGGAAAACACACCATGCTGTGATGGACAGGGACCCACACTCATGGGAGACAGTGAATAGGTCGCAAATGCATATATATACAAACCTGGAGAAATTTATTTCTCAACATATCCTCCATCAACATTGATACACTTGTCCCATCAGTTTACCAGTGTGTCAAAACCTGCAGCATAAAAGTCTTTTGACTGCTGTCTCAGCCACTTCCATGCCTCTGTTTCAACTTTCAACCTCTTCATCACCAGTGAAACACTTGCAACCATTGTGGTCTTTTAGCAGACCAAACAGTTGGAAGTCACTAGGAGACAAGTTCGGGCTGTAGGGCAGATTTTCGGGAACTTCCCACTGTAGTTCTCAAATTTTCTCCTGGGCTGCTAGGGGCTGTACGGGGTCTGGCACTGTCATGAAGAAGCAGTACCCCTCTTGCCAGTTGGCCTGGATATTTTCTGCCAATTGCATCCTGAAGCTTCAATAGAACTTCGCAGTACAATGCAGAATCCATATTTTCACCACGCTTCTGAAAATGGGCTAACAGTACTTCCTGAGAATCCCAAAAACATGGTAAGCACAACCTTCCCGGCTGATGGCATAACCTTAAACTTCTTAGTTGAAGGTGAAATGGAAAGTTTTCATTACACTAAACAACTGATTGATTCAGGGTGACAGAGATGGACCCATGATTCGACCCCTGCAACAATCCTGTTAAGCATATCTTCTCTTCATCTGCACACTGTATGAGATGTTGCAAGGACAGACCCATTCGGTTAATTTTTTCTCGATCCTTCCGTTCTCTGAGTACCCACCGTGTGCACACTTTCCAAAACTTTAAATGATCATGCAATATGCTAAACCATGGGAACACGCTAGTGCAGTTGCTACATCGGGTTACAGTCTATGTGAACATCATCTGAAGATGGTTAAAGCTGAAGTTCATGGAGATGGGTTGGCCTTCAGTAACATGATCTTAATAAAAATTATGGGTCAGTTGGTTACAAACTTAACACAGACGTTCATCATACCTTCCTTTACATATGAAACAAGACAAAAAACTTGATCAAATTTCAAAAGAAAGTACATACCCTTCTCTGGCAAAATTACTGTAGGCTTTCATGAAAAAGTGACTCATGTTCCGATCATTGTCTGTCCACATGTTCCGGTCCAGCTTAGGCCTTGCTGGGAAGAATTCTGTAAGCAAGCAACCCAAAATACTTTTAAATTATATTTAATGTAAAGACAGTTATCCCCATGCTTATAACCTGAAAAAGACATGGAACCAGAAGGAGGCAAGTGGTTAGGTTTGCAATCTGCCTGCTTGTATGCCTGGAAAATAAGCCTTTACTGGCTGGTAGCAAGGAGGCTGGGTAGACCTCAGAACCATTCTGGACATGTTTCTCTGAAATAAAATAAGATTTCAATCCCTCTGGACCAAATCAACTTAATTTTTATATAATTTCAAACTGCCACTGAATGTGTATAACAAGAGAATCAACTACATCTATGATAGCGATTCAGAACTGTATTTCTCCTTCAATATTTCCATTTTCTTCATTGTTACCCTCTTGGTTTTTCTTATCTTATCATCATACAGAACTGTGCAGTGTGCAGCAAAAAAGCTGTTGTTGCAACAAAAATTCCAGACTCAGTAGTAGCTCATGAAGTAATATTATATTTGAGCATCCTGTTACACTCACACAATATATATGAGACAAACTCCGTCTTAAGTGCAACAATTTAATTGTAAGTTTAAGGTCTTTCATTCTGGTCCGTCACACTAACCAATTAACAATCAAGTTCCTTCCGTCAAATGTGACACTTTTTTAAGTTTTCCACCTCGTCAGCACCTGCCTTACATGTTTCGGCTCACCACGGAGCCATCATCAGAGGCATTTATAGTAGAAAAAGAAATCACCAACACACAAAACTTCACTTTGTCCAAGATAGCCACGTTCCAGTTAATTAAAATAATTACAAATAGTTAAAATTACCCAG